TCCTGGCCAATTTTCCTCTGGCCTCCTAATAATCCCCCTCTCTGAACTGGCTTCATCACTCTGCTCTCCTCCCCACTGAGAGCTGGTGTGTGGGGAGAGGACTGGCACATCATCCAGGTGGGGGTACACACTGGTGGTGGTGGAGGGGATCCCCGTGACCTGTAAAGCTCTTTGAGTGGAGTGTCCAGGAAAGAGCAGTATAAGTACTAATAATTGTTTACACTTCTATAAAGCGTAAGGAATTACTATCATGTTTCCACTTATTCCCTCCTTGTCTGAGCAAAATCCTTAAAGGCAAAGTCAACCCAACAGATTCTGAATACCTGTATCAGGTCCCCTTCTGGTCTCCGCAGAACTCGGTGTGCTCAGCATTCGCAGTGTTACTGGACAAGGACCCTGTTCCACTGCCTGACTCGCGATGATCACTTCTTCCTTACTGTACACCCGAGTCCAATCTGCATCTAGTACATCATTCATTTCCCCTGCCTGGCACTGAATATTTCCTTTTTTGCACCAGATAGCTTTTACTTCGTACTTAACGGATCTTTTTTTTTGCTGTTGAAATCATTTTATTGTAGCCTCCATTCTATTGTTTCTCTCTTGACCTTTCTCATGTCCATTCCACCTTGTGCTTGCAGTGCCTTGCACTGCTCTTCTTCAATTGGATCCTGCTAGTTTTAATATGTTAAATCATTTGATTGACTCACACTTGGGAGAAAATGTCTAGGATTTTTACTTTCAACTCAACCTGTAGTTGCAAAAGATACTTCAAAGCTAAACCATCTTATGATCACAGCTCCTTGACGGTTCTCTCTCTCACCTCCGTCTGCCTCACTCTGTCTTGACCGCGTGAAAAGACGAGATCTGTACCAGATCTTTCCTCTTGTAGGGGCTCTGACGGACTGGGGAGGAAAGGAGTCAGTACCCCTGTCCACCACTGCAGCGTCTGCTGCCAGTATCCCTACAGCTCTTTCCCTGTCTCAGTAGGAAAAGTTGAAGAATCCCATAAACAAACTACTTCTGGACATACAATGATTACAGTATATGGGTACGGTGTATGAAATATATATTATGATAATCTGCTAGCGGGCAGCTTCTCTCTCTAGTGTTTCCAGTGCTCCTAGTATTTCGGTATCGGCACCTAAGTTACTTGATCAATTGTCTTCCTCTGCTCTACCCTGCAGAAGAGGAAGGTGCTGCTGGAGGCGGAGGGGGAGACGAGCTGCACGAGGACCTCAGCCCAGGGCCAGAGCTCTCAGGAGGGCTGGATCAGCACCTCCTCTCCCTCGCCTGCCTGCAGCACAACTGGAGCCTCGATTTCCGAAAGAAAAAGGAAACAACACGTTAAGTTCACATTTTATTGAACTGCTGAATAACATATTCAGGAGAGCGGGCAGAGGAGAAGCACTCCCCGCCGCCCTGTCTCCACGTGTTTCTGAAGCCGAGCCGCCCGGAGAGCAGTGTGGGGCGGGCCCCAGCAACAGGACGTTTTGTACATGAAGACACTTCCAGAGTTGGGGAGAGAACCACGTATTAAGACACCTCCCCCAAATCCAGTTCTTTCACACAGTTCAATTCCGCGGCTCCACACCCCTGGTGCCGAAACTCTTCCCGGCCCATCTGGCAGCGCGGCAGAGCGGCAGAGCGGCAGAGCTCCAGCCCCAGCCGCGCAGAAGGACGGGCGTTCGGCAAACACGGGTGCCAGCCGTGAGCACCGGACAGACTTCAAAGGGCTTGGGGAGAACCTGCACACCAGGATCACGGCATCCAGCCACAAACAATTAGAAGACAACGAAGGCAGCCAGGACTGGCCGAAGCCACACAGCGATCAAAGCGAACATGGCCCACTTCATCCGCAGGGAATGAATGAAAATGAAGGAGGTGCAGCAGCCCCTTCACTGCTCCCACCCTCCTGCGTGGAGACGTTAATGGCATGCTTGGAAGAAACAGAATGCTGCAAAGCAGTAGGACTAAACGCTTTTCTGAGGAAGGGCTGAGAGCGTCTCCGAGAAAGGAGTACTGCAGCTCTCCACTTCGAAATGAAGCACTACTTAGCAAAGCGAGAAACGTTTGTCACTTGATCTTGCACAGCCTGTGCCGTCCTGGAGCAACGTTCATTTCTCTAAAGGGAATCAACACTTTAGTGTTACAAATCTTTCAGTTGAGTTGCTCTTACATATGTTCAGCAGTTGCAGTGAAATAGTGTCTTTTTTTTTTTAAAGGGACATTATGCATTTGTCAGTTACATTGTGGAAGAAATATTTCAGCTATTTTTTTTTTTGGCCACAGAAGTTGGACTTATCTGCGACGCTGGCAGTTTCAACGTCTCTGGCTACACGCAGAAGAAACGGACCGCTGTCAGTAGCTGCTGAAGCGAACCTCAAGTATCGTTGAGATCTAATTGACAGTGACGTAAAGAAGGACAAAATGGCTTCTAGGAAGTTTTTCCACAACAGATGATCTTAAATGTTGATTTGGGGAACTAGCAATAGGCAAGGACACATTAAACATTCGCTGGTATGGCTCATCCGAGAGAAGATTAAGTTCAGTTCCTTCTCTTAGTCTTTCACCAAGAAACTAAGTAAAACTCCTTCAAAGTCTCACCCTAACTTCCTGGCCTTTCTTACACATTTTGGGTGTCTGTGCAGGGCATCTCCAGTTTCAGTGCCATTTGATGCAACACCTTAAACCAGAATTAAATTACATATCTGTGAGAAACGGGGATAAAAAAGCAAATCACAGACTCTGGGTTCCTATTAACTGTGCCGTAGGTTAAACCCAGCTGTGATTAGATGACATTGGAGCTGTTATTTTTCTTTTAGATTAAAATCTTCGATTACAAGCCTATGGCAAAATTAATACTGTCCAAGTTCCACCATTGTTGGATCCGAGAGATTCCTCATCTCAAACTGCAGTTAAGGCCTGTTAGTCACTTGACTTGAGATCCTGTTTCTTGCACCTCAGAGATGCTCCTAAATATCAAGAAAATAGCCTCACTGGAGGACCTTTTTTGGGTGTTGAAATTACTTTGCACCAAGACAGAACGTGGCCACAACAGCTGTACTCCACCTGAGAACAGCAGCTGCAGGCATGATCACAACACTGAACAGATCCAAGAGGTTACATGGCTCTGCCGCGCACGAGCTCCTCAAGGAGGCCACAGCAAATTCCCTTTCGCTCTGCAGGATGGTACCCAAACACCTCAGCACGTCTGCAGCTCGTGGAATCATCACTCATCAAATGCGGATCACGGATTGTACCCGTTTAACCTGAACGGCACAGAAGAGAGCTGGACGTGCACGAGGGCGGCGCGGACGAAGGGGACGTGGCTGCAGACCGGACCTGCTGGCGCTGCGCCTGCGTGAAGCAGCACTTCCCCGATCCCGGGTTACAGCGCCTGGCCGACCCGCACTGCAAGTGGAGACGCAGCTTTATTGGATGAAACCAAAAGCCTTTTGGCAAACATTCTAACACTCCGCTTTGTAAACATAATGCTTCCCTTATCGGATTGGCAGCACTTTTATCATGAAACACCGACATGAAAAGAAAAGTCACCCACCCCAGCAACAATGTTCCCACATAAATTAAGCTGGGATGATTTCAATCAACAGAAACTTGTTTTCAAGAACAGAAAAGGTCATGAATCGAAATGAAAGTTTGTGCTATTTGATGTTCATACTCTTATAATTAAATACTTCTGCTCTGAAATTCCTGGCAACCCAGGAGGAATACATTTGTTAAATATACATTTTTATGTAGGTGACGGCTTCTTTGCATATAATTTCTCTTTTCAAAAATAATATATTATACAAACGTCCCCTACATAATAGACTTTTTTTTTCCTCCAAAACTATAGATATTTAAATCTTTGTAATCAACTTTTATAATTCCTTTGTTAACAAAGCTGATAAACGGAAAGGCTCGTTTTCCCAGAGGAAGTTACAAGTCGACAGGAGAAACACTGACCGTCGGTCGGCAGTTTTATCCTGAGTGTTCTGGCCGACGTGGAGTAGCAGCTTTTTCGCACTTAAAAAGACATCTTTGTTTTTCACACGTCTCCCCCTCCCCTGCCACGCACGCACGCACACACGCACGCACTCACACCCTCATCCTCTCACGGGGCGACAGGCCACAGCACGCGCCCCGCTGGTCAGGGGGCCGGCGGGCAGCAGGTGAAACTGGTTGAGAGCCTCCGAGTATAAATCAGCAAACACCTTAAGGCAATCTACGCGACGGGGGCTCGACGAGGTGCAGCACGCGATGAGGAGCGTCGAAACACGGACAGGCAGTTTAGAGCCTTCAGGTTACACCGTCTACACCCTCCATCTTCTCAAATTTTGTTTATGTGCAAATTGCTTCTGAAACCTCCTACCACTTAAGGCAAAGGGTTTGCATTGCTTAGAAATAGAAGATATACTGTGTGTATATATATATAGACCTTTTGTCAACTCAAACATCTTCATGGTTTCTCGAACTCTTTTGAGATTTGTTTAACATGCGGATCGACGCCCTCTCCTTCGGTTCCTTGCAGAAACCGCAAACACGCTGCCGACTGGATGGAGAAAGCAGGGAGGATATCCAGGAATCCTCTTCCTGGGTTAAAAAAAAAAATCACATTTTTCCCGAAACGTAAAGCTGAATGTTTCAGCTCGAAGTACAAAGTGACTTATTCCACAGCGTCTTTTCTTTAATAAATAGGCTTTCCCCTCTCGGCAGGAGCGCTGGTGCCGACGGGCTGGAAGGTGGCTCAGCAGCTGGAGTGCCAGGGCTGTGCCCGCGCCTGGTCGAACTCGCCGATCAGTCTCTTGATGTGTGCCAGCTTGTTGTGCAGATACTCACAGCGGCACTTCTCCTGGTGGTAATTCGGACTGCTCTGTGAACAGAGCAGGGTGTTACGATCCAAAGTTAAAGGTGCGTTTCACTCTTCAGTGAGAGGGCCTTTATTCAAAGAGAACAAGGGCTCAGCCGGAGCACAGCTCCCCCAGGATAAAGGCCCCTCTCCCACAGGCTAGTGAGGGACTAAAACAAGCTGCTCGGCCATGTGCTTGAAGCCGATATCCTGGATTCTTCCAGGACACAGCAGGATGAGATCCTGGGATCAATCAGCTACTAACTACCCAACAGGCCGGATGGGATAAGCTGCCTCCTCTCCTTCTCTCACCATGTTCTTTAGTGGAAAAAGTAAAGGTTTATTCCCTGCTGAAAGAGAAAAGCCACACCTGAAGAAGGCTCTACAGCTGAAACATTGTGTCTTCCTGGACACGCACAATTTCAGCTGGAATAAACCTTTACGTGTTCCTTTGTGGCCTGCGCCTGCTGACGCTTGAACATGTCCTTCAATGGTCAGCGGATGCATGAGCCCAACACACTCACCTCTTTCATTCTCTTGTACTCTTGCAACACCTCCTCATGTATCACCTGTGAAATAGAGGCACTGTCAGCGGAGGCTCTACCCACTTTTCACAAACCTTCAACACCAGAGCTCCACATCCGAAGTGCAAGAAGGGCGTTCCCTTCCTATTTTTCTTCTGGGGACAATAAGCAAGATCCTAGGTTTTTAACACAAAACGCATCACTTGAAAACTACCACTTCAAGCGCCAGCCCAGTATCAGCTCAGTATCGGAGCCCAGCCATCACCTGGTACTCCTTGGTGCCCGGGGGCAGGCGGCGGCGCTGTGCGTCCAGCCTGGCGAAGCGGCGGGTCACGCTCTCCACCCGGGCGTGCAGAGCCCTGTACTCCTCGTACTCGGCGTTGAAGTCGTCCTTGTAGCTCTGCCGCTGGCCCGGGGACTGCACGGCCGTGTACTTGCTGCGGGCGACACCGAGAGCCGAGCATGAGTTGCCAGGGAGTCCCACAGCAAGGCGGCCGAGAGCGCGCCAGCCCGGCGGCAGGCCGGAGCCGGGAGCGAGCGAGTCTCGGCTCCGGGGCTCCCCGCGGGCGGGAGAGGGCTGCCAGCACGCGCGTCTTTCTCTCGTGACGTTCAGCAGAGACTGAGCGGCTCAGCCCGCTTCCCCCTCCGAGACGCTGCAAGGGCTGCAGGACTCGAAACACGTGGCAGTGATACAGGAGAAACCTGCGCCAGCCCGCGCAGCACAGGGAGTCGAGTCTCTGGGGCTGGGCACGCCGACGTGGCGACAGCGCGGACGCTGGAGAGCTGTAGCCGAGGGATCACTTACGTCAAGTAATCGGGCGTCTCGGGGGCCGAGGAGAGGTCGGTGGACTGGGGGCAGCCAGCTTTTGTTCCTGTACGGAAAAGAATGGCCGTGTCATTACATGATAAACGGCATGAACGACCCTACTGTATGTACCCCGGTCCTGACAGGGTATGTGGTACTAATACGCTGTTAATTCTGTTACTGCTAATACTCCCTGTTAGGAATTCCTGAACCGCAAATAAAATTCCCCCCCTCTTCATAGGATAAAGCTTCTGATTCCTTCTGGAGATTCAGAAAATCACCCAGTGTAACATCGCTAACACCCCAGCAGATTGAACCCTGCTGCTTGCTTATGAGAGTTACCCTGTTTACCCCGGCACAGGTATTTAGATAAAATGTGTAAAAACATGAACAGCGCCGGAGCACCCAGGACCCGTGACATGGAGGTCAGGGTGGTGCCTTCTGTTCTAAAAACAAAACCCACCCTCCCACGCTCCTGCCTCGAGCTACTGCTCGCTCCTAGAGCCTGGAGGAGAACCAGAGACCCCACAGCCACAAGTTTGACAGTTTATCATACAACTGTTTCTGTTACAGTGAGTACCTGTCGTGAAGGTGAGTATACAGTAAACTTATCATTTCTCAAGCACCGGAAAGGGTGCTGGGTGGAGAGAGAGCTCTGGGACAAAGCGGAGCTATGGGCCTTTGGTAATAATTAAATTCCAGAGTCATTTTTCCAGACATTTTAAGTGGAATGAATTGTTTAAAAGTAACCCGGGAGGTATTTAATTAAGAAAGATAAAGAGAACTGCAACTAAACCGGGGGATACAGGCTTTTTGTTAAGAGTCTTTTGCCTTTAAAGCCGTCCCAAGAGCAGGCCAGCTGTGTCTTTGTATGACGTGGGCACACTTCACTGTCCACTGCGATTTCCGACTCATCTGAACCTGCTGCCTGTCCCTAGTCGGTGTGATTAGTGCTCCGGGCACAGGCCCTGGTTCAATCATCGAAGTGTCATTCGCTCTTTAATGAGGAAGCCTAGTGCTCATCCACACGCACACAAACACTCTGTCTAGGAAGGACAGCTAGGGAGGGCGTTAGGATTAGTGTGATGCTGTGGGGGAGGATGGTCTGTCACACACAAGCTGACCGCCCAGTTATTCCTGTATTAATAAACATGGGATAAGACCAGCTGTTTAGAAATCCTCGTTTTTACGTGTTTAATCATTGGCAGATACATCGTGTGACAATAAAAATGAGTTCCTTTCGATCAGTACATTGCATTTTATTTTGACCAAATTAGATTTTATCCTCTCAGTAGTTTTAATGATATTATGAAAACAGATATAGATCAGATACAGATCAGAGAGCCATCTGCTTGCAATTCCTAGGAGCTGAAGAGCGAGATTCTTGAGTTAAATGAATATTTCGGAAAACAGCATTAGTTAGCACACCTGTCTTGGACGTGTGCTTTAACTGTGTGGAAGTGCATCTAAAAAGCGAGAATTGAGGCGCTTTACCCAAAGGGTTGTGGGAGCTTGGAACATTTTATGCTGCAATGAGGTTTCTTTTAACAAATGGTGGAATGCGACCCTGGAATCGCAGACGGGTCAAACAGTCGCCTCTCATCTCGAGCTGCTCTCGTCTACACTCTGCCCTCAGACGGTGGCCATGTGCCCCCCCAGACCGCAGGAACGCCAGTGAAACCACGCATGCAGGTCCTGGGGCAGACATGGGCGGGAACCGCAGGCGCCAGCGGCCCGGGAACGCGAGAGCGTAGCACAGCTCGTAGCTCGTACCTTCTTTGTCTGGGCGTGGGCTTCTCTCGGTCCGGGGGCCTCGGTCCTCCTCGGCCTCCGGGCGTTTCTTCCGGGATCTCTCCTCCGTGTGCTCCGCCTTCTGCTTGCCCTCCCGGTCCTTCTCTCTCTCCCTGTCCCTGTCCTTGTCCTTCTCCTTCTCCTTTTCCTTGTCCCTCTCCCTCTCCCTGTCCCTGTCCTTGTCCTTCTCCTTTTCCTTGTCCCTCTCCCTCTCCCTGTCCTTCTCCTTCTCCTTGTGTTTTTTGGATTTCTTTCTGGGCTTCTTGCTGGCGAGGCAGTCGGGCTGGGCGGGGCTGCCCGCGGGACTCTGGGCCGGTTGCTCTCGTGCGCCCGGCTCCTGGCTGAAGCCCTCCACGGGCAGGTCCTGTGTGCCGCGGCCCTCCGGCGTGCTGGGAGAGTTGGAGTTGGAGCCGGAGCCGCCGGGCGGCGGGGGCAGGGGGGGCGGGCCGGGGCAGGCGGCGGCAGCAGCAGGTGGGGGGGCGGGGGCAGCGGGCTTCTCCTTGCTCGACAGGGGCAGGTGGTCGTTTGGGGTGGGCTGGACGCGGCTGGTCAGGTGAGAGATCCGGGCCTTCTTGGGCATCAGAGGGTCGATGAAATCGCCTTCCAGGGGCCGTTTCTGCGAACAGAGAGGCGAGAGGTCACGTGTCCGCAGCGCACGGGCACACGAGCTGGTCAAGGGGCTGGGACATCAACGGGTGCACGTCTATCCCAACAACTGTCAACTCTGGTAACTGGGCTCCGGCAGGTAGCTTGCTGGAGCTGCTAGTTTGAGGCTAATTCACCCTCTTCTTCTAGAACAGCCAGGATACCGAATCGCTTTAGCCAAATGCAGAGAAAGATACATCTCTGCAGTCTTTTACTTCAGCATTAAGGGAAGACATATTAAATCAAACACACATCTCGAGGGAATTTTTCCACTAAAAGCACTGGACAAAAACGGCAGCTAGTCTTTAAGAGAAAGTGAGAAAAAAACATCCAGATTTTGAGCAGGTTTAAAGAATTTACAAGGAGCCCTTTATAAAAATGAGTTGGCGCTCAATTAATTACTGTATTAATAAATAATACATACATTTTATGAGTTTACTAAACTATTTGGTGCACAGGTAAAATGTAAATGGCAGAAAGGAACAAAAGAGTCATTTACAATCCAGCCTCCTTTACCTGAGGGGGTGACCCCGCATCGGGCTCCTTGGGCGGACTGCAGGAGGACGCCTCGGCCTGGCCGCCGCCCGCTTTCCTGCAGCGGAGAGAGAAGAGGAAGAGTCTCAGCTGACCG